GTCTGCAGTTGGCAGTTATTCTGTCAAAGCCCACCATGAGTTTCTTCTTCTTCTTTTTTTTTTTTTTCTTAAAAATATTTTCTTTTAATATATCAGACATGAGGGTGCGCTGCCAGATCATGAAACCGCCAAGTTCCTGGCACCAGGTTAGTCTTCAGGAAGTCTCTGTTAAAAGGTTGAATGTGAGCTTGTTCCTGGTGGAGAGAGAGCATAATTTGCAGGCCTTTTACATCTCTCATTTGGAGTTGTAATTGCTTGGGTGTCCTCTGTTGGAGCGAGCTGTAGTTCACTGGTGCGTTCAGTAGGCAAAGAACACATTAGAAATTGCTTAGGCAGAATCTGAGTTAATTATCCTTGTTGGCTGCAGTATCGTAAATGCTTGTGTTCCTGAAACCAGACCCACTAGTGTGTTGCATACAACGCAGCTGCTTCTGTGTCCGGCCTCGAGTCCAAGAATGAATTGCAGCTTGTTTTACTGAATAAACCTCTCTGTACCAGCCACGTGCACCTAGCAAAGCTTCGTGTTGTGAAGGTGCTCGTTAGCTATGGTGAGGGTGGGAGGATCACCTTAATATCTTATTTGAAACGGAGAAGAGAGCTTCCGGGGTTGAATTGGGGTAAGATGGAGAGTAGTGATGGAGGAAAATCGTTCACAGGGTTTTATACCCGAAGGGAGACTTCAGTAGCGTTGCAACCAGCAGAGCCAGTAAAGTGAAGGAAGTGGGGAGTGCTGACAGTGCCTGCAAGTTCTTCTAAGGCAATAACTGGATGTGATTGCTCAAGGAGTCCATTCTAAGCATCAAAGAGTTTAGATTGGAAAGGGCCCTCACTGAGGTCAGGCAGTATGTGAGGACCTGAAAACAAACCAGAGTTGCTCCTCTTTAGGTTACCCAGTCAGTGGGAGGGGAAAAACAATTTATCAGTAAAACCTAAAATTTTAAATTTTTTTTTCTCAGAGGAATTTTAGCTGCAGCAAGCACTCAGCAAATGTCCACATATAGGCCTGAGAAACCTGAAAAAGATTCCTGCAGGCATGAAGGGTTTAAAAAAAAAAAAAAAAAGGTAGAGAACTGAAACAAGAGGAATTTAGGGAAATCTTTCCATGAAGCAGAATGTTGGAATGGCGCTGGGAATAGCATTCTTGTATGACCAACATCTTTGTGTGGACATACTCTTTTTGAGCTCGAACAGCTCATCCTGGCCTCAGCCAGACTTTTCCCTCAGTCAGAGGGTGTGGTATGATTGGGACTGAGGGAAAAACTGAGCTCTTCTGCTCCCTGTGCAATATTGAGGCATATGATTTCTTTAATCCCTGAAGGATCTTGTGCAATTTTTGCTAGTATCTTAAAAAGAACAGGGTTAATGTGAGCAATTGTCTCCGTGGTGAACTGTGTTATTTTGAGAGCCTATTTTTGGATCTAAGCTTGCAGCCTTTTCTCAGGCAAGCTCCCATTGATGTCAACGAGATAGTAACCTGGATAAGGCTTGCAGGAGCTCTCTGTGTGGGATAACATTTTCTTTCTTCTGTGACACATTTATAATGTCTGTACCAGTTGCCTTGTCCCTGTAAATGTAGCCTTGTGTTGTGGTGTGTAGCTTTAATGTTTTAGGAAAGAAGCATGACTCAAGCAGTCATAATTTATCTCCTGTTCCTCCTGCTTCTGGAGAATAGGACTCTTGATGGTCCATGGTATTTTGGCTGCTGTAGCCAGTGCATTATAGCAGTTGTGCGAAAGTTCTCTCCAGACCTTCTCTTTTCCAGTTGTTCCCATCTCATTTACGCACAGAGGGAGTGCCAAGTCCATGCTCTGCACTAAGCAAACATGGGAAGACATTTCATAATGAGAGGGAAAAGCAAAAATGTCCTTGTCCCTCCTCATGCCTGCAGGCAGGTGTGGAAGGCAAATCTATGATCTGACTCCAAATCACTGAAAAAGGGTTTTGAGAGCTGCAACACACTGATAGTGTTTCCACACCAATACACAGTCTTATCCTAGACCTATGAGGGAAGAGTTAAGGGTTCTGCTGACTCACTGATGTAGGGGGCTCCTCACCTTACTGCTGTAAAAGGGAGGCAGGGTGGTTCTGGGCTGAGCAGGTGGTGAGGAGGTTTCCTGGGATTAGAGGAGCTGTGAGCAGAGGAGGCTTATGCCTTGCTGTCAGAGCCAAACTCCAGGAAATGATTCTGGGCAGTGTGTGGGTATCTGGTAGTGGTTTCTACTCATCAGTGGTCTAGCCTTCAAGTAAAAAAGTCCCTTTTAGCCTTGCTGTTGGATTACTCCAACTGCAAAAGTTGAGGAACTGCAGTTAGGTTTTGCTACTGCTAAACATTTAATGGTTAACGAGTAGAGTGGTTAATGAGTGATGCCACTTAGAGTTGCATTTACTGTATCTACCTCACTTACTCTAAAGTCATGAGACTGGCTTGAGAATCATGAACACACACCATTAAAAATGACTCGAGAGTGCTTTGCTTGCCTCCCAATTTCACACGTGGATTGCTCCGCTCTGGAAGACTAGGGAGGGTTAGAGTGCTTCTCTGATGAAATAAACTGAGAAACTCGCATAGTGATGTAACTTCAGAAGTTGGCAAAAATCTATTATTAATTATATTTTATTATGGTACTACCGAAAGACCAATTAAGCATGCAGCTGTGCTTTTTAAGTACAGTAGAACACAGAACAGTAGCTGCTCCCTGATCTGCAAGCTCTCACTATAAGTAGGTGGTGGGAAGAATGCAATGCATACTGCGTGAATGATTTCAGGGCAGGAGGAGTTGTGTTACTGTTCTGGTTTTGCTTCTCACTATTTTGCGAGTTCACTGGTAGAGGGAGTGAGGAAAGGGGTTATACATGATATAGCTGAAGTGAAGCAATTTTGGAAAAAATGCGTGTTGTGTATGTATTAAGGGTGAAAGTATGGTGGGGAGATGAAGAGAAATAGCCAGTCAGCAGGGGCCGGGGATAAGCCATGTAACACTACAGAAGGCTGCACTGTGGCACCTGAGGCAGGCTGAAAGGGAATGGCCTGTGCCCTTACTGTTGAGCTCTCTTAGCCTCCTGGACTGGTGGCTGTCTGCGGATCATCTATTTGGCCTGGTTCCTGGACTGTGCAATTCCTGAACCCCACTTGGGAACTGTAAGAGACTGCTAGGTGACCTGGGCCAAAATCCTGCCAAGGATTTTTTTAACGATACAAATGATTGCTTTCCAGTGTTCAGGAATGTTTGCTGACATCTTTTAGTTTGCTGGTATAGGTATTGTATGCAGGTGTAAAGGGACCAGCTTTGCCTGCCTCTGCCGCTAATTTTCATGTACTGAATTTTTGTGGGTTTTTTTTGTTTTCTGTTTTTGTTTTTTCCCTTTCACTTGAGTGTTGTACAGGAAGAAGCTTCTGGTCTTTAATGTTGCTAGCATTTCCTCATATGGTAGAAAGTCTCATCCCCAATACTTTCCCCTTGTTGAGCTACTGCCATCTTTGTTGCTTCTTCTGTTGTTTCCACCAGCTAGGGATCTCACCTTGCTCCTTTCTTTTGTCCTTTGCAGACTTTGACAACAACTTCTGTCCTTTGGCTAGTCAGATAGAGGGAGAAAAGGAACAGCAATGCCTGGATCCCAGAGTGTGGTAGATCTGCCTTGCACCAGTCAAAGGTGATATTGATGGGCAATTACGGTCCTGGCTAGGCTGGCTGCATTTCCCATCCTTCCTACTGTGCTTTCACATGTTGTCTGTTGAAACCCAGCTATAGCAACCACTTTTCTCAAGAATAAGTAACTAAGGTACAGCTATGATGTCAATCATTTCTTCCTTGATGTGCTGCCAGCAACATATTCTGCACTTGTGGCTTACACCCCAGAGTCCTCGGTGGATGGAGTATGACTGGCTTCTGTACAGATAATTCTGTGCTATGTATCTCTCTTCATCTTATAGAGTCCAGATAGGGCTGCAGTCGTTTGGCCCTTATCCTGAGCTAACATAATGGAGTAAAAGTATCTCTTCTCTGCCTCTCAGGACTGGTGCTAAGATTCCTTCCTTTTCAAGCACATGAATGCTGATGCAAAAATCCCTTGCTGAGTGGAATGATGTGACTTTTGGACTAAGGGATTCATCTGTATCTTAACACCTGGAAATATATGTGTCCTCCAAAGCTCTTTTGACAGGGTAGTTATTAGAAATCATGGGATTGATTGGTGTTTATGTAAAGGTTCTTTGGATTGCTCTAGAAGTATAAACAGTTTTCAGATGGGTATAACACACATTTTTGTCCATATTAAAATCCCTTAACATTGACAAAACACTGTGAAATGGCCTTTGTGTAAATGACACTCTTATCCATACAGTCTCCTAAAAGAAAATATGTTGGCAGTCAACAATTCAGAATGGGCCCCCTGTCCATTTCAGTCAAGATAATAAGTGTGGTGATGCGTGGCTTATGACTATCCTGTGCCTAGATAATAGGCATATGTACAGTGTCAGAACCAGTGCTGCTGTTTTTTTTACATACTTTCAACTAATCCGTAACAGTAGTGTCATTAGAAACATGTTAGCATGAAGCATAAAACTATATATCCTCTGCTGCAGCAAAAACAATCAGTTGAGTTCATGGAAGAATTAAAAGTACCCTAAGAAAACAGGGAACTAAAAATTAAAAGTCCTAGATATGGAGAATAGGCTTCTCCTGACTCATTCGGAATAAGTTTTTAGGAAGGGTTATTTATTCTGGCCTCAAAAGAAAAAGAACTTGTGACCAGTGGGTGCCCCTAGAGATTCCAAGCTGATTTTTGAGAGCTCGTACTAGCACAGAACCTTGCCCCTGCTAAGGAAGTATTATTGATGGAGCTTCTTCGAGTAAAGCACCTTTCCTTTTACTTGTCAGGCAGAGAGCAGCTGTCACAGTTATATTAGAAACACATTTTGAAATGATTTTTCTGCATAGGCTACTGTGCTGCCAAAGGCACATTGTATAAAAAAAGATTGTGGGCCGTCATCTCTTTACCTAGGTGCTCCCTGGATGAAAGACTGCCTTTATTCCCAGGCTTTGATAAGCTCTGAACACAGACAATGGAAATGGTTTTACCACTTCCATGGGAACAGAAAGTACACTGCACAAGCAGGGACCTGTGCTATATCACTGAATAAATCTCC